ATATAAACTAAAACTAAGATGTATGCGATGACTTACTACACAAATAATATACACATATAAACTAAAGCTAAGATATATGGGATGACTTACTACACAAACAATATACACATATAAACCAAAACTAAGATGTATGGGATGACTTACTACACAAACAATATACACATATAAACTAAGATGTATGGGATGACTTACTACACAAACAATATACACATATAAACTAAGATGTATGGGATGACTTACTACATAAACTAAAACTAAGATGTGTGGGATGACTTACTACACAAACAATATACACATATAAACTAAGATGTATGGGATGACTTACTACACAAACAATATACACATATAAACTAAACCTAAGATGTGTGAGATGACTTAGTACACAAACAATATACACATATAAACTAAAACTAAGATGTGTGAGATGACTTAGTACACAAACAATATACACCTCACACATCTTAGGTTTAGTTTATATGATGACTTACTACACAAACAATATACATATATAAACCAGATATATAGGATAATTTACTCCACAAATTACATCTATAATAATAAAAGGTGTGTCTGTGTGTGACTGCCATAGCTCCATATGGAAAGAACCTAGAAACCCGAAATTTTCACCCATATTAAGTGGAACCTGAGATTAAAATTGGATCGATATTTTTACTTTCATGATAAGTTTTATGCACTTTGTTCTAGGCTAGGTTATCTCACACTATCTCTCTACTTTAGGCTTATTTATTAATTTCTTAAAATCATACAAACAATCACTACACTTCCAAGGTTTCATGGCCCCTTTTCACCCCCATTACTAAAATAATAATGGGCAAATGGTAATGTATGCAACAATTGCTACAATTCATTTGCATGAACCAAAAGAAGCTCTGAGTCCAAGACTATGTCCACCTTCTGGATGCTATAATAGGTTCAAAATACATACACTGACATAGCCATCTAAAATATATCAACCTAATAACCCAAGCAAACCAGGGTACTTTCGCTAGTTCATATATAAATTAAGATGTATGGTATGGGGGTAATTTACTCCACAACTATATACATTTAAGAACTAAAACTAATATGTATGGAGTAATTTGTTCCATTTTAAAAAGGTAGTTGCTTGTTATTTCATTTATTACATTTTCTAAAGAGTAATGGGATAAGGGATGGTGGTACTTCACCTGTAATCTACCACCTATAACTGGTGAGCGGGGGCATAATCTTACAGTTTCAGGTGAACCTGGTGATGTCACCATCACACTTGGCCACCAGTCTTGTTGCATGTTGTGTTTGCTGACATCTAAAACAAACAAAAATTTTTTAGTAAAACAAGATAGCCTGTAATTTTGAAATGCAACAAGAAACCCTATGATGGATATGATAAGAGTTTTAAATAGAAATCTACCCAAGCTATTGACTGAAGACAAGTTTAATAAAAATTACCCACATAACAAAGTGACAAAAATTTTAAATAGAAATAACTAGAGTAATTGACTGACAACAGTTTTACATAGAAACTACCCAAGCTATCAACTTATTCTGTTTTACCCATCATCAATGAATATTTGCTGTAAAATTCTTATCAATGCTATAAGTGTAGCTACCAGTTTGGCTGCCAATAGCTACAGAGCAAAAAAACTCTGAAATAGCAGCAGGTCCAGATATGAGCTGAGAATTATTTATAATAGAAAATTACCCGAGTTATTGACTGAAGACACTGTGGAACAGTAGAAGTTCCAGATAAGACCTCATGCTTACCACTGAAACAGTGGGGGAAGGGGGGGAGTCATGACTTGTAGCTATTACAATACTAACTAATTAAGAACATAAAAAAAGATAAACTTCCGATACGGCACTTACCCTTCTCTCTCTCTCTCAAGATTAGCTATTCTCGTTCAGTGCTGCTCTCTATATGCAAGCTTTTCGTAATATATATGCCACAAGCCTTGTGCACCCCTCTCTCTCTTGATAATATAATGTTCCAACGTGACTCTCATGTAAATCATCATGCATCATCTCTTAACCAGTACTAGCCTAATATGCACATGTGGCTCCCTACATACTTCTGTACCGAACCTTCATTTCACATCTGGCAGCATTCAAGCTCAGACCTTTTTTTGTGTGTGCTAGTGCTACCTTCTGAAGATGGAACATTTTTTCTGCCAAAAGTGGTTTCTTTATGAACATAACTTTTAATGTCTTTTCTGCTATAAACCAATTCAATTTGTCACTATCTATTTCGGCAAAACTTGATCATAATGATCCTGATTATAATGTTAGTCTTACCCATGCCCAATATTCTCGCCCTTGTCTTACCCTAACCACCCTTAGACAGTACTTTTCTTCCATAAATCTCCTCTCTAAGGCATTCAACAGACATCCTGAGGGTTTTTCTGTGGATACCCTGCACATTCTCTTCTCAAAATTAGCCTACATGTTTTCCGTGGCACTGGCATTACACACGTGGTTTCTTTGCTGTTGTGACCTTATTGGTAGGAATGCTGTATTGGCCTGGGACAGTTTACCCTCTCCATATCTACAGGACTTACGTCTTGCTCTGTTTTTGCAATGTCATGTCTTTGGTAATGTCCAACAAACTATCAAGCCTCAGGTTACATCAGCCTGTCAGCAATCCACCCTCACGTCTTTTGTCGCCTGTTTGTCTCAGTCAGAACCTCTTATGCCCCCTATTCCTGTCTCCTATCCTTCATCCTCCCAACCCTTACTCGTTCCTGGTAGTCGGGCACTTCTTTTCATTGATTTCTTTAAAGATGAAACATCTGTCGCCAACAATACCAGTGAGTACCCTGTGGGTTTAGGGCTGGTAGGAGCTCGACTGTTGGACTTTCTTCCTCACTGGCATCTCTTCATTGAGGATCAATGGGTGATATGCATTCTGTCAGAACGATTCATTCTCCAGTTTTTTCCTCTCCTCCTCTCTCTCCTTGCCCTATTTCCTTTCTTCTTCCTCCAAATCCAGTGGTGTGTCAGCATCTGTCAGAGGTAGTTCAGTAATTGCTTTTACAGTGGGCTATTGAACTGGTCGGCCTCCCTTCCAGGGGTCTTTATTCCCACCTTATCACAGTCCCCACAAAAACCGAGAATTAGCAGCCAGTTATTGATTTATCTCACAACAAACTGGAAAAGTCGTTCCTTCGACCTACACAATACCTGGTCTGTCTAGGAGTCTTTTTTGAAACCAAGATCAGTCATGCCATGACTTCTTTATGTCTTCAGTCCATGGAACTTTAAGTTCACCGAGCCCTCTCAACTTGGTCATATACTACTCGTGAGGTTCTATTCTAGGGGATGTGGTCCTCCATGACTGAACTTATCCCTCTAGGTCGTGCCCACGAGATCCCTGCAGTGGGTGCTTCTTTTCACCATCATCTCCCTTCCTCCTTCCCTGTGAGCTGATCTGCACTGGTAGCTGGACAAACCTCATATGTCAATTGGCATTCCAATTCTTCCCCCATGTCCATATGTATATTTGTTCATAGATGCATCCCTTTAAGGTTGGGGGGGGGGCATGGATCAATCACCAGGAATCTTTGGGCTGTTGGTCTGTGGACGAATCTGTCTTGCATATCAATATTCTCGAACTTCTGGCAGCACATCTGCCTTTAAATCACTTTCTTCTTCTCGTCCATCATTGTATGGTGATAGTTTATTCGGACAACTCTATGGCTGGGGCACAAATCAACCACCAGGGGCACCTGGTCCAGAGACCTCTTTTTTGGACATTGGAGATCTTATACTGAGCCCATGCATGTCACATTTGTCTTATTGCATGTCATGTACCTGGTGCTTTTAGTCTCGTCACAGATAGTCTTTTGCACCGGACTGAATCTATCCTACAGAGTGGGCATTGGATCCTCTTATTTTACGGGACCCTTGCAATCGTTCGGTTTTTCCCTAATTAGGTGCTTTTGCCAACAAGCCTCAATTCCAAATTGCCCCTCTTTTGGTCACCTGTACTACATCCTAGGCCTTGGTGGTTGATGCTTTCAGCCATGGGGAAGATTGGAATGTAGAAGGTTGGATCAAGGTTGATGAAGAAGGGAGGGAAAAAGTGGAAGAGGAACTGGTGGTGTCAGGAGCAGATGCCATAACCTGGGGAACCAAGGTTGTGCTGGCCAAAACGGTTCTAACAGGAAGACTCAGCAAGGAGTGGAATGGACCAGAGAAATCACCTGATGCAGTAGCCAGATTGGAGGTCTTTGTGTGACCCATCCTCCTGCATCTTCATGCCTGGCTTTTGTCCAGTCCTTGGCAAATGGATCCAATTTCATGCATCGAGTTGCCTCCTTGTTAGCTGGTTCCTTATTACCACATTCTTTAGAAGTCTCCCGACATAAGTGGAAAGTCTTCCACTGTTGGTCTGCTGACAGAGAATTTCCTGCTGACAAGCTATCTGTGACTCATGTTTTGGAATTTCTCACCTGGCTGTTTGACATGGTTCTTCAGTCTCCTCACTTTCAGGATATTGGACAGTCCTATCCAATACCTTCCATTTTTCCAGAAATTGTAAGGTTTTCCTTCTGTTCTTACTGGGCTCATGCATTCCTCCAGAATTTGACAGCTGCCAAGATGTCCTGCCCTCACTTTACCTCCATTTGCACCACTTTCTTCGTACTCCTTGTTTCATCTGTCCCTTAAAACTTATTTCTTTCTTCTGTTGGCCTGTGATCACATTGGCCAACAGAAGTGTTTGTCATAGACATATCATGTACCCTTTATCACCCTATCTATCTTCTCCTTTATCCTAATTGTTCCTTTCTCCCCAAACCTCGGCAGCTAGGGAGGGTTTGTTCATATTTTTCTCCTATTTCCCTGCCTTCTATATCCCATCTTTACCCTTGACCGGATCTGAATAGATTTCTGTGTCTGGTCTGGGCTCTTCTTTGTTATATCACATGTATTGCATCTTTTGGGGTATGCACAACCTTCTATTTCTCCCATGGCAATCCTCCTCCCTTTGTGATCTTTCCCCTTCTACCCTTATGAATTGGGTCTGCCTTTTGGTTCCTTTCACCTATTCTTCCCTGCCTTCTTCCTCCTCCCATGCCTTGTTCCATGTTTCCTCCCTTCAAATCAGACATCTCACCTTTTCCGTCGCTTCTTGTCTTCATAGTTTGATGGAGGATATCCTCCATGCCAGCATGTGGACAACTCCCAGTATGTTCATCTATTTCAGGGGCTTTCTCTCTCCCTTTTTTATCATGGATCATACTCTATGGTGAGTGGTGCCTGTTCAGGTATTCTTTAACTCTAAATCTGCAGTGTCTGCCATGTTGACTAGTGCTTTCTAGTCCATGCTCACTGTTGAGATGGGGTGTTCCACAAGATCACTTGTAGGTGAACAACCTCATGATGTCATTGCTTCATAAACATGCCTGTTCTGGACCATACCACCCATGGACTACATGTGTAAAGCAGAAGGGTATTGCTGCCCATCCCTGCCATGCCTCACATGAATAACCAGGTATGATCTGCTTTTCAAAGCAGGTCACCAATTGCACTGCCTCTGGTGATAATGTTCCTCAGGGCTCTTCACCATATAGTCACCCTCCTTTCTTTGAGTGGAGTATGGGAGTCCTTGCCACTTTTAGTTCCAAGCTACTAGGGTGGTGGACCATGGAGCACCCTCCTGAATGTGTTCCCCAGATCATTCAGTTGAGAGTAGGGCAATGATTTTCTGCTGGTGTAAATGCAACGTGGTCTCCAGAGGAGTTGAGCTATCACGTTGCTGGTTGACGTGGCCTCCTGATCATGTTACACACCAACACTGAAGTTGAGCCATCTCCTTCCAAGATGACGTGGCCTCTCACTACCATTTACACAACCAATGGAGTTGAGCTGTCAGCTTCCGGTTGATGTGGCCTCCTACTCACACTTGCACAACTAAGAGAATTAAGTCATCACCTTCTAGATTAACGTGGTCTCCTGCTACTATTTACTAAACCAGGGGACTAGAGTTGTGACCTTGCGAAATAATGTTGCCTCCCACTTCCTTTTACACATCAGCTAGAGTTGAGCCATCCCCTTATGGGATGAAGTAGCCTCCTAATCCACTTTACTTTCACTCTGGAGTTGATCTGTTGCACTTGCAGTTCACCCTTCGATTGGATGCCCTCATCCTACCTTTACACAGATGTTGGTTCCTGGCATCGAGGTTTTGGATTCGAATGAACCAATCAACATAAATCCTTCCACGGAGGCAGGTTGTCTCTCTTCCTCCCTCAATTGCTCCGTCTGTGTATTTCATCACTGCATAGTTAGTGGGCTGGTTCCAGTGCTCTCCTGGACTATCCCTCGTTCTTCTTACAGGGATGTTATTGTCTTTGAATGGTACTGGACTGTGCCATGTTTGGGGGAGTTGATTCCATTTGATGGACATCCTGTCACTGTGGCATACCCGCATATTGGTGCAGGTCTTAAAACCATGATTTTTGGGTTTGAGATAAAGAAGTTATGATCATCATCCTACCCCCATGAGGTTGTCGGTGCCTCGAGGGGAGGTTTTGGATATAGTTGTTTGCTGAGTATTGTCCGACATGCCCTAGCCACTCTAACCTTACATTTCTACCCTTGTGCATGTCATATTGTCCACAAGGGCAAAGAGTATACATGGCTGAGAAGTAGTGCAGTTCACCTCTTTCGATCTCTATCTCTTAGGTTCAGAGATATCCTTCGGACACTTTTGGGGGGCTTCATTTGTTCCCTCACACCGGTCTCTCCTCCTTTTCAATGTGGAATTCTAGCTAATCTTATGAGAGAAGGTAAGTACCGTATAGGAAGTTATAATTTTTCCTATACTGAAAATGTATTTCTGATGGGTACTTACCTTCTCTCACACTTCCCACCCATCATCCCCACTTTCTAGTGCTTGCGCCTTCTGCCATACATCGAAGTGAAGGTTCGGTAAAGGAGTGTAGAGGGAGCCACATGCGTGTTAGGCTACCATTGGTTAAGAGATGAGGCATGATGATTTGCATGAGAGACATGTTGGAACGTGATATTTCTAACAGCGCTAGGTGTGCAATGCATATGGCATGCGTTATGAAAAGTTTGCATATAGAGAGCAGCACTGAACGAGAATAGCTAATCTTGTGAGAGGAAATAAGTACCCATCAGAAATACATTTTCAGTATAGGAAAATTATAACTTCCATTTCCATTGATATTCACTATTCATAAACTTTACAGTTTTTTTTAACCTTTTCCTCTACATCATCATGTTTGGTACTATATAGACACATGTTTACTGATCATTATACATATAGAAAGTTTGTTTTGTACACTGGCTCAACACATCAACAGTAGTAGTCTAAACCATGCTGACAATATCCACTGTCTAAAATATAAACTATTATATATATATATATACAGTTTGTTTTGTACAATGGCTATAAGCAATGATTAACATGATAATACTAACAGATGATTAACATGAAAATATTAACTGATGATTATCAAAAGACTCACCTTCTAGAGTTATGAAATCTTTATTTTCCTTGTCTCTACACGAAATCTTTTCTGTCCACCCAATATCACTGCAAAGGGTATTGTAAAGTCATATTTACTTGTATTATGGAGAGAAGAAAATTCCACAAAACTTATGTTTTATTAACAAACTGAATCAGAATAACATCATCAGAGGCTTTCTTAAGTGCCAATTTGAGGTAACCAGTGTTCTGAGGGGAGATTTCTCTGAGAACGTACCTTACACAAATATATAATATGTTTTAAACAATAGACAATGGACAGATCTTTCCAAACATATATAATATGTTGAGTTTGTGTTAAGTTTTTCCAGCAAACCAAGGAAATAAACAATGGTGGGATGTTAAAAATAGCATGTTGCCAGTAGAAAACAATAATTTCAAAGCCGTAAAACAAACATAAAAACTGTAATTATGACTCAAGCCTTTATTGTGATTAATTAGTAAACATTTATGTTTTGAAAATTTGTTATTAGCTAATTGCCCCATTACTTTTTCACATATATAAAAATATCCAAAATAACATGTCACCTTAATCATGTGTTCTTCTTTGCAGTTGCTTATTTTCAAGACAATAATTACAAATTTTTGAGTAAATAAAAAGATTAGAGTCTAAAATCAATCCAGGAAGTATATAATTTGATTTGATCGTACCCCAAACACAGGGTATTAAGATATATTTTGGGTATGTTCATTTGGAGCTTGTAATAAAATTAGTTTTTTTAAGCACGTGATCTCCTTTAATCATATATCTAGTGCAGATATTCAAATTATGTCATTTTGTTATGTAATTATACACAACAGTCAAGACATTTGTAGTTATCAATAACTGAAAGGGTAAGAGTAAATTGCATTCTTCAATAAAAATCACTGAACATGAAATTGCATGAACTCCTTTAGGTGTTCTCCTTTATTTCAGTTTTGCTTCGGAGGGGAATATATATAGAGTGCATAATGGTTTTTCTGCCATATTTAGTTTCCACCATGTGCATATTACTAGGGTAGGATGGATTTGAAATGTATTACTCGCAAATCAACTCGTTTTCCTACAAAAAAGTCCTTTAAAGTGGAATTACATAACAAGCGTGTATCTTTTTAACTGCATAACTAACATTCAAATGATGTTAGTGGTAGTAGTTTTAGGTTTAAATAACTGATAATTTACAAAGCTAAATCTGTGAGTGATAATTAGGGGTCTATTTATAAAAACAGATAATTGGGGACATGGTGAGATACATGTAAAGGAGTTCACCATTTTAATTGAACTTCTTATATGTGATTTGCACTTCTTAGTATTGTTACGACAGTGGAAGTCACGTGACCCTGGGAGCATGCGCGCTGGAGTTTCTCGAAGGATCATGAATTTGCCCGGCAACTCTAGTCTGATCGAGATGCCCTCTTTTTTTAGTATATAAGTTTGGTGAGAAAAATCAGGGGGATTGAAGAGATAGATAATTGAGTCAAGCGAACAGTAGGCGCCGTAAGTAAAGTGTGTGAAT